ACGGCCTTGTAGCTCAGGCCGTGAACCTTGCAGCCGAGATCAGTTCCTCTCTCGGCTACAATCGTTTGATTAGAAGATGAGTTTAAATAGGCGCACCACTTGACCATTCTATCCACATCAAAATCTCGACGCACGGTAAACCGTGCTGGCATGCCTGCGCACAACCGCACCACATCCAAAAGCAGGAAGCCACGTGTTAACGCACATCCCCTCGGCCCGGAACCCCAGGGCGTGAGATCTGCGCAGCCGACAAATAACCAAAATAGTATTTTATTGCAATAAAAGTAAAATAAAAGATGACATATTGATATTTAAACCAGTTTTTTCTCAACCCTTAGATTAGATCTAACGGTACAACTTTCTTGAAACCAGAAAACAGTACTTTTATTATTTTGACACACCCACCCACCCAACCTCTAGTGCGTTCCCCCTTAGAGCACTTGCACCCATTTGCCATGGTAAATGACAAGGGCAAGTAAGGGCGGTACTGTTCATATGAATACTATCTGACCTAACAAGTTTTTTTGTGTTTTTCCACCCATTGCCATGGCAACTCAAGAGCAATTACTATTCATATATGTATAGATTAATAAATAAAAATTTGTTAGGTATGTATTTGAAAAAAATTCTGAAATTTTTGGTAATTTTTGAGATTTTTTTTTTTTTAATTTTTTTTTCTTTGCTGATGTCAGCGCCCTCAGACAACAGTTCGGACTATCTTGCCTTGGGGCTTGCCAGCTCTTGCCCAAGCTGGATGTCACTGCTGGAGCTGAATTGGGAGACCAGGGCCCTTTTGCCTGGGCCGGGCTCTTGCAATCCATTCGTCCAAAAAGATCCTCTCCGAACCCAATATCTTCCCTTCCCCTAAACCCTTATAGCACTCTCCCTCATATACCCTAGTTTGTTCGTCTGTTGTCGGCGGTGAGGTACTGTTCTGTAGCAGCAACGTCGTCTATCAGGTACTGTTCTCGCCTCTGGAACTGAGTCGTTAAATCTTTTGTTCCAGATCGATACCGTACCGCGATTGGGTACGCTTTTTAATTTGTATTATGTTATTTATGTGATTATGGTTTTATAGATTCTTGCCGAGGCTTCCCCGTGAATTTTGACAACAAACCGAGAGCGACAAACTCTCTGCAACCATGGTTCGTTCCCCATCTCTCTCTTTCTGTTTTTATTTTTCTCTAACTTTCATATTGTTCAGGAAATGATTTCATATGGTATACTATTGTTGTTTGTGAAATACAGCCGCAGGGAGATTACATAGAGCTTCACAGGAAGCGGTATGGGTACCGACCAGACCACTTCGAGCGAAAGCGCAAGAAGGAGGCTCGTTTGGTCCACAAGCGTTCAGAGACTGCCCAGAAGGTCATCAATTCTCTCCTTTTCTTCTATTTTCCTTAAAAGTTAAAAATCAAAGTGAAATTTATGCTTATTCTGTTTCTTTCGAATGTTTGTCATGGAACAGGCTCTGGGTATCAAGGGTAAGATGTTTGCTAAGAAACGCTATGCAGAAAAGGCTCTCATGAAGAAAACGTGAGTTCTATTATGCGGATCTTATTCCAGTTTATCATTGTGTTCTGTTGATTATTCTCTGAAAACAAACTCACTAGCACTTTAAGTTTCTTATAAATGATATCTTCTTACTTAATAGCTTTTCATATAGTCAACCATATTCCCTTTAGATTGTTAAGATGAATCTCTAAGAACTTACAATTGCATTAAATTGATGCTTTTAACTTGATTTTTCATATTGCACTGGTGGCATGATTATTAATTTGGTGTGACGTATACACCTAGACATAGCTACATTCATATTTACAACTGTATGACTCTACATAAGTTTATCTGCGTCGTTTTAGTGTTTCTAAATGTCTATCATAGGTAGTTTGCCTGTATGTCAATACCTCAGTGTATTGGATTTGTGTGCATGCAACTGGTGAATTATATTTATGTAAAATAAAAATATTGTTTGTGAATGTCGACAGGTTGGCTATGCATGAGGAGTCATCAACTAGGCGCAAGGTGGATGATGATGTTCATGAAGGAGCTGTTCCAGCATATCTTCTGGATCGTGACAACACAACACGTGCAAAAGTAATGTGCCAGCTATTATTGATTTTATGAAAATATATTTCATCATGTTTTTTTAATCTAACATTATGCTGGAAACAGATTCTCAACAACACCATCAAGCAAAAAAGGAAGGAGAAAGCTGGGAAATGGGAAGTCCCTCTACCCAAGGTAAGAACATCTGCCACATTCTTCCTTTGCCTCTTTACTTTTCTGTGTGAATGAATTTTCGGTGCAGTACAATAGCATTTCTCTTTTGTTAATCTTGTTTCTTATTTTTCATATTGCACTGGTGGCATGATTATTCATTTAGTGTGACGTATACACCTAGACATAGCTACATTCATATTTACAACTTTATGACTCTACGTATACACCTAGACATAGCTACGTTCATATTTACAACTGTATGACTCTACGTAAGTTTATCTGCATCGTTTTATTGTTTCTAAATGTCGATCATAGGTAGTTTGCCTGTCTGTCAATATCTCAGTGTATTGGATTTGTGTGCATGCAACTGGTGAATTATATTTATGTAAAGTAAAAATATTGTTTGTGAATGTCGGACAGGTTGGCTATGCATGAGGAGTCATCAACTAGGCGCAAGGTGGATGATGATGTTCATGAAGGAGCTGTTCCAGCATATCTTCTGGATCGTGACAACACAACACGTGCAAAAGTAATATGTGCCAACTATTATTGATTTTATGAAAATATATTTCATCATGTTTTTTATCTAACATTATGCTGGAAACAGATTCTCAACAACACCATCAAGCAAAAAAGGAAGGAGAAAGCTGGGAAATGGGAAGTCCCTCTACCCAAGGTAAGAACATCTGCCACATTCTTCCTTTAGTCTCTTTACTTTTCTGCATGAATGAATTTTCGGTACAGTGCAATAGCATTTCTCTTTTGTTAATCTTGATATAATTTTCTGACTTGAGTTATATCTTCTCCAGGTAAGGCCTGTGGCTGAAGATGAGATGTTTAAAATTCTTAGATCTGGAAAACGCAAGAGTAAGTATTCTTTAACTTTTCCTCACTATTCCCATACCAAACACCAGTCTTGGTTGTTTTTTCCCCTAAATTTATGATTATTAATTAGGCTTATGAGAGTTAGATTTCCCTCATAACGAGATGAAGTTATTCATTATCTTGATTTTTTCATGCTAAGCTTGTATAAATAATATTTCGGATATGTGAAAACTGATGCCAGTATTTTCATTAAATTTATTGTTTTTGTTCCTGGCAGCTTATATACTTGGTTCTGTTTTGTAGCCAAGCAATGGAAGAGGATGGTCACAAAAGCCACATTTGTAGGACCTGGTTTCACGAGGAAACCTCCAAAGTACGAGAGGTTTATCCGGCCCAGTGGATTGCGATTCACCAAAGCTCATGTGACACACCCTGAACTTAAGTGCACTTTTAACCTTGAGATCATTGGTGTGAAGAAGAATCCTAATGGTCAAATGTATACCTCTCTTGGTGTCTTGACCAAGGGAACCATCATTGAGGTACCTCATTTGTTATGTGATGATTTGTTGCATGTATAAAGCCAATCCACAATGTATTTCGTTATTTACTCATCTATTCTGTGGATATCAGGTGAATGTAAGTGAACTTGGTCTAGTCACACCTGCAGGGAAAGTTGTATGGGGTGAGTTCAACCTTAATGTAGCTTTTTGCTATCATGCACTCTTTTAAACATGGATTCTTTAGATTCTGACTTGTGTTGGAGAATTTAACTTTTGCTTTGTGGTCGATGCAGGGAAATATGCTCAGGTGACAAATAATCCAGAGAACGACGGATGTGTAAATGCAGTCCTGCTCGTTTAAGAGGGCCGCTCAATGAGCATCACTGAATTGTGGAGTGGACTTCTGGCCCTGTATCTGTCATCCATGTCTCATCATGCACCGCCAGCCAACATGTCCTCACCCCAAATGGTTTTGACACAAAAATTTGGTTTTAAACTGAGAGATCAAACGTTTGTATGTCACACAATTTTGTCTCTAGAACCTGAATGTTGAGTGCATATTGTGGCTAATTCAGAATAACTCTTTGTTCAAATTTATTACCAAATCAGTGTCGATTAAGAAAATTTTCCATCTGACGATTTTGTCTAAATTGTATTGTGGTTCAACAAACCAAAAAAAGCAGGGATTGCAAACGTTTGCCTTTTAGATAACACAATTTAAGCTGGTTAATGTATGATCTTTGTCGCATAGCATTAGTTTTTCGGCCCGGGTAAATGCTAGCACACAAACCAAATCCTAACAGTAACAAGCACTGCATGATATTACGCATGAATTTTCCGTGGCTAGTAATTTCAACCATGAAATTAAACCCACAAAAAAACCTTCTAATGACAAGTTGGTTTTGGTTCCCATTCCAATCCAAAGAGCCTTCTCCATGCTATATGCATCGAGGTGTGATAATATGCCCATAAATATTTTATTTTATTAATATTCTTTCAACCAATATGTTGCTTAGCTCATCTCGTCATTATTTTTCACGGATTATTTGGTTGAAAACAAAATCCATCTTATTTGCATACTAGTAATTTTAGGTTCGAACTTTGTTTTATATTCCTACATAAACCAAATATGGGGAAGGAATCTCCATTTTCCATCACTTGAGAAAAGAGATAGAAAATTATTTCTCATCAAATTCTTTCTACGAACCAAATGGCGATTATCACTTGTATTCAAAAAGCCATAACTCAATAAAGCTCGAGCTCATTCGCATAAGTATTTTGGGCGGGCTTTGGGCGGAAGAGTTTTTCAGTGTACCCAACCCAAACCTGGACCCAAAACCCCATTTATGCTCAACTCGACAAAATGTTTGAAGTCACCGAGATAACGGCTAACCCAGTCCTCTCTCTGCAAATGTTCCTCTCTCTCACGAATAGAGTTGGTAAGTCAAGGCTTGGCTTTTTCTGCACTCTCGCATCTTTTCCTCTTTGCCCAGTTCAGGATTGTGACCCAAATGATTCGTAATATATGTGCATATATCCATTAAGTTTATTATTTAGGGGATTTTCATGATCATAATTGATATGCGTCGGTTGGAAATTTCTATATTTATTTTGGGTGTAGAAAGCTAATTGCTTTATAAATCAGTCTCTTTGCTGCTAAATCTTGTAGTTTGTGCAGCATGTATCTTCTTCGGCTGATCCCAACTTATTTTGGATTAGTTTATTGTGTGATAAATTCCGCAATTTTAGGCTAGTGAGGGAGGATTTATGATAAAAATGAAAGATTATTGAGTAAGGGATTATTCATCGTTAACATAATGAGGATAGCTTCAACAGAAAATAAATAAAAATTATCAGAAGAGATTGTTGAGGTGAGATTTCATTAGTGGAAATTCACCAAATGACCCGGGCAATACCGTATGATTCCCTCCATCCGCGCTAGACTAGGGTCCAGTTCTCTTAGTAGATAGGCCTACCAATGGTTTATTTTAAGATTAGGTTATTTGTCTTTTAAGCTAATTCTACCTTGTTTCAATATTGTATTTGATTTCATAGAGACACCATGTTTGTGAATTTTACACTAGTTCATGTCATGTAATGCTGATTATACTTCTATTTTCCTATCTCTCATCTGGACCCAGTTTTGACCCAATCTTCTCCTTGAATGAGAATTTAATCTTTTGTTAGTTGGAAAATGGCAAAGAAAGGAAGCTCAAAGTTGAATATTGCTATTATTCATCCCGATCTGGGTATAGGTAATTTCTATTTCTTCCTGTTATCATTGAAGATTGTAAAGAAGTTGTTTTGGCCTTATGTTGTTGCGATGTGATGTGCAGGTGGAGCTGAAAGACTAATTGTTGATGCGGCTGTGGAACTCGCATCCCATGGGCATAACGTTCATGTTTTCACAGCGCACCATGACAAAAATCGATGTTTTGAGGAGACTATTTCTGGTGTGCCTTTTTGGTACTTCAAATTTATCTTTGAAATCATGGTATTTGTGAAAAATGTGGTGGGGTTTAGTTAGTGTTGGAGTGTGTATGGTACAACAAATCAAATAGGAGTGTGTTCGTCAACTAAAACTCTTGTCCATATTCTTTGCTGAATACTATTGTTTTCTTTTGACATAAAGTTGCAAAAAGAGGCATTGTAATGCCATTTGAAAGTTGAAATCAGAGATGTACATGATGACCTAGTTTACATACACAAGAAGATAAAATTTTGTACGCATCCTTTTGAGGAAGAAAATAAGTCACAGTAAAATACTGAAAGATTTCAGGTTCAAGTAGTCTTGGTGTGTGTATTCTAGGAGTAGCATGGTTAGAAATACAACCTGCCTTGAGAAATTCATGGCATATGGGTACTACTAAATAGTCGGATGGGTTAGGCCTTAGAGTTGGAAGGTGACTTATACTTTCTGCTTCCTTTTCGGGGAACCTGTTCTCGGTTTGGTGTTGATTAGCTATCAGTCAAAAGCAGTGCATAGTTTGATGTTTTAATGTTACCGGTTTGTCAGGTACCTTTCCTGTGACTGTATATGGTGCTTTCCTACCCCGACATATATTCTATCATCTTCATGCTTTGTGTGCATATCTGCGGTGCCTTTTTGTTGCTCTGTGTATGCTAGTCATGTGGCCATCATTTGATGTGATACTAGCAGATCAGGTTTCTATTGTCATCCCATTGCTGAAGCTGAAGAAGTCAACAAAGGTGCTTGAACCCATCTTGTACGAATTGTTATGTAGCAGTGTTTGCTATTATAGTTGTTTTATGTGTTGCATCTTTGTGTGCAGGTTCTGTTTTATTGTCATTTTCCAGATTTATTGCTGGCTCAACATACAACTATTCTAAGGAGGATATATAGAAAACCAATAGACTTCATAGAAGAAATGACAACTGGTCTGATTCCATTTCTTGGTTATCGTTTTATGTGATGTGTCTACTGTATCTCTTTAGTTTGCTGTGTGTATACAACTATTCCTTACCACATTATTTTTTTAAATGATACTGCTGCAGGAATTGCAGATAAGATTCTTGTTAATAGCAAATTTACAGAATCTATGTTTGCAAAGACCTTCAAGCGTCTTGATGCACGAGGAGTTCGGCCAGCTGTTCTTTACCCAGCTGTCAATGTGAATCAGTTTGATGAACCCACCAATTCTTACAAGTAATGAACATGTTTGTTTATCTATTGGTTTGTTATGGTTTTAGACATGCTTTTATGATTCCATATCTAACATTTGTTTGATGACTTTTCTTTGAATTTTATCTGGTGATTTACAGTTTCGGTTCTTCTTTGTTTATTTCCTTGTTGTAGGTTGAATTTTCTGTCCATCAACCGTTTTGAGAAGAAAAAGAATATAGACTTGGCAATTTTAGCCTTCTCTATGCTTCACACCCTTGGAGGAGATGTGCTTCAAGACCTTAATCTGGCTGAAGCTTCCTTGACAATTGCAGGCAAGTTCCTACTTAGTTATCTGCCTGGGTATATTGAAGGATGTTTTATGCTAATTAGTAAGTACATCCCTTTATAAAAAAAATATTTTATATGATATATGTAGCTAGGCAAACAATAAAATGGACTTTAATTACTATATGAGCTACGGGTTAGTTCTGTTTGGTCCTTGTTTTCGGTAATTCTCGATGATATTTGTTTGGGCCATATACCAAAGGATCCAATGCCTACTCGAATGCCTACCGGTTACATTGATACATTAATGCAACATCATTTAATACTTTGATTGATAGAAGTGCATGAGTTTCTGCGCATACGGATGAAAAAATTGATTCATGTCTATTGTTTTAGGTGGTTTTGATAAGCGCTTGAAGGAAAATGTTGAGTACTTGGAGGAGCTCAGAAGTTTAGTGGAAAGGGAAGGAGTATCTAGTCAGGTTAACTTCATCACATCCTGCTCGACAGCTGAAAGAAATGCACTTCTCTCCCAATGCCTATGTGTTCTTTATACGCCAAAGGTGCTAATTACTTTATTTTGTTCCATTGATTGGATATGGTGAAGAAATAAATTTGACATGCAGTATTCAATAATGCAGGATGAACACTTTGGCATTGTTCCTCTGGAAGCGATGGCGGCTCACAAACCTGTTATTGCATGCAATAGTGGGGGACCCGTAGAGACAGTTAAGAATGGCGTAACAGGATTTCTTTGTGAGGGTAACTCAAGAGAATTCTCCTTGGCTATGGCTAAACTCATTCAAGACCCACAGATGGCACAGAGAATGGGTACGGAAGCTCGAAAGCATGTCACGGAGTCGTTCTCTACAAAAATATTTGGTCAGAATTTGAATCAATACCTTGTTGATGTTGCTCAGACAAAGAGAGACTGAGAATGAATTAACATAGCAGGATACGCGAATGTTTTGTTTTCTCTTGTTTATACAACACTCCACTGGTGTGTCTTCTTTTTGATTTCTTCGACTTACCATCCATACATCCATAACTAGTTGTTCATTTAGTGATTCAGAGAGCAAACATAGTTTTCTGGCTTAACATACAATACCAATTTGCTGCATTTATGAACGTTGGAGAGATTCTATGTTACTAGCTAGTCCAAGATCAACCCGAAAATTCATCTATTTGTTAATTTAGTTGACCAATGGTTTGTCAAAAGGAAGACGCAGATGCAGGTTGCCCACTCATTTGCACCTAAATTCGAATCCCCTTCTTTGTAGAGTAGTTTCGACTATCACTTGTATGAAGAAAAATGGTCCCAAAAACAATGGTCGAAAGGAAGGTGAGACCTGTTATGCCAGAAACGGAGGGTGATCGGTGCATGGGCAGATATTCGAACACATTTTTAATCACTCAAGACTGCATATTGTTTGCACAGACCCGAATGGATAGTATAGTAGTGACCAAACCAAAAGTGAACAGATCTTATTCTGCCCAAATACATGTATACCAATCAACAAAAAAGGGTGTTGGGAACCGGAAAAATAGGTAGTAATTTTCAACAAACAAGTTAAGAATAATTTATTCTCAGGGTATTACAAAATATAAATTTCTGTGAGCAAAATTTCAGCTAAATTGATGCCAAAAATATGATGTCAACAGCCCAAAGACTGAACTGAGCAATCAGATTTAATATGCCGCAAAAGAATTATATAATCAATTCAAAATTTCTCCGGAATTGGCTTGAGCTTGATAGCTAACACTGACTGGAAAACCAGCTCGGAAGTTATACTTGAAAACATCACCTAGTCTTTACAATATTCTGATTCGGTCTCCTTCCTGACCTCAACGTCTCCACAATCGACCTTGCTGCTTCTGTTCTTGCATTCGCCTACAATGTCATTCGAATTTTGTGAAGTAAGAATTTGTGACAACTTGTAACATTATAAAGTATATGACAAATGGATGGTCAAGCATGTTTGGCACAAAATCTGAATCACAAACCCAGGCCACCTGTGTGCGTGCAGCGAATCTCATAACAAAATCTTTTCTTTTTTGAAAAAAAACAAAACAAAACAAAAAGAGGGGGAGGGATTTGTAAGCTTTTTTTTTTTTTTTTTTTAAATTTATATTTATCAACAAGAATAGAACAGTTCCTCAGTCGCCTGACTTATAAATGTCGAATTAAGTGAAAACATCTCTATGCTTTTTAAACCCACTGCCCCCCCCTCCAAAAAAAAAACCCAGTTGACCTTGTTAATTACAAAGATTAAACACACACACGTTAAGAATATACTTTACCTCTGATGCTCTTTAGAACGCCTAATGAACTCTGCAGGGATATCACGCCCTTCATACGATGCTAATACTTGCCTAATATCTGCTGGAGGGTTACGGGCGACAACTGCACATAAACCAAGCAGAAGCAGGCGGTAATGCATTTCTCAGAAACTTTAGTTGATTTAACACAAACATGATGAATAGAAATAATGCAAGAGCTACTGGTGCTAGAAAACAAATGAAAATCCCAGACTTACATTCAAGAAATGGTATGAAATCCACAAGAGCTGTGTCATCCATCTCATACTTGTATGGCTTTATTATGGCACCATTTTCAGGCTGAAGGCTATTTTCTCGTGCGTGGGCACTCAGATAGATGATTTTATTTGGATCTCTATTAAGTTTGGAAAGGTCCTGCCAAGAGAAACTACACCTCATATGCTTTACTAAACACACATGTCAAAACCAGATCCAGACTTGTAACAGTGGATTAGCCAAGAAAGAGGGAAAAGAATTTTTGAATCATTAAACAGATTGGAGTTTATCAATTATTTCATGGTTTGACATGGGACACGAGTGAGCTTTTTGGTTGCAGCAGACAAAATTTGCTGAAAGAAATACTAAGAGATTGGCAAAGGCTAGGTTCACCAATCACATAAAATAATTCCATGCTGAAAGAAGCAATTCAAAGATGTCAATCATCAAGAAGGTACAGAAACGAGGGAATTGAACATCAGTTATTAAAACAAGTACCCAACCAACTTACCCTATAATGTTTTCCATTCTGATACTTAGTGGCAGCCTTTCCTAGCCTATATCTTACACAATGCTTTGTGTCCAGTCTCTCCATTACAGGATCTACATACTACATATACCAAGAAACAGTTAGATTCTGTTAGTCTAAATAATTTCCAAGAGAAAGAATGGTAGTGTGAAATATTGAAATACCATATTAGAATAGTCTGAATACACGATGATTTCATAAAACTGAGCAAGATGTTCCAAGAAAGCATCAACTCCAGGTCTTTTGATAGTCTGCCAGCCCTTTTCTCGCTTTACATGCCAAAAAGAAACATGAGTATAAGTAACCACACCAAAAAGAAGAAACAAAAAGAACTTTCAAGGCATGAGGACTGTAATGCAGAACACTTTTACATGACATGAAAAATGTGGGAAAAGATCATTGTCTAGATGTCATGAGATAACCGAAAAAAACACAAGACTACCCACTACATCTTCTACGACCATGCCAAATCTTGCCATCCTGAAAGAAGGAATTTTTTCAAGTTGGAGATACAACAACCATTTTCCAGTCCTAGCCTTACCGTCCAATAAGAGTAAAGTAACGTCTCCTGCAGATCCAAAACAAGTGTAAAAACATGTCGCTCCATGGGATGCAAATCTGGAAGAAGCTTCTCTGCGTATGGTTCAGTATAACCCTATATGACAGTAACAAGAAACTGTGTCAAACAAATCAAAATGATGATGCTACACTGTGCCGATTGCTGAAGCAGAGAACCAAAAGTGAAAGAAGAGAAAAAAGAAAAAAAAAAGAAGAGAAAATTACACACTCGAATTTGTTCTTCAATCGTCCTCCTTGCATCAATATAAACTTCGGCTGCTTTAGCAGGCACTGAAATATAAGACAAAAATGAATCAGCATACTGTCGGTAACAATACGAACTATAATTAGAAAGGATGGCTTGTTTGTGGTACTAAGCAAAAAGTTGCTACTACCAAGTCATGTGCTACTAAACATCAAGCCCATCAGGTGACAAGTGTCAACCAAATGAGCAAGGTCAATATACTTCAAAACAATAATTATTAACCATCAATATACTTTTTTTACAATATACCATCACTACACAATACACTTCTCTGTGATAAAAGTGTTGGATCAAAAGCTCACATGTGTATTTTTGTCATTTTCTGATGTTCACCAACATGATAAAGTTACTATATGGTGAGTAATTAACATATATGAACTATACAATAAAATAAAAGTAAAAGATAATTGAGGTTAATCGATGCATCCTCTACGTAACCGGCTCCAACATGAAGTGAATTAATAGCAGTCAAAATTCACAAAAAGACTGGAAAAACTGCTGAAACTGTGTAGCAGACAAATGTAATACGTGAAGCATGGCTATTACTCAACAGAGGTGTAGTTCAGGAACCCACCTGTAATTGCAGAAGAGTATACCCGATTTTTAAATTTCTGCAGAAAAATTTAATAACAAAATGTTAATCTATTGAGATTGCATCCCTTCCAAGTACACAGGTAATAAGATAACATAACGCATCATAATGAGAAAGGCTTCATACGACGGAAACTAATGCAACCAACCACTTGTCTTTATTCTGTGTGATTTTTTTTTTTTGGTCAGAATATTCTGTGTAGATTAAAACACAGTCTCTCTGGTTAACAATTGCTAAAATATTTAGTGATGAGTGACTCAATGCATGCAAACTACAGCATACAATGTTTGTTTATACCAAAACTGGATATGCGGATACAATTCATTGTTCTTAAAATCCAGGGACACAAAACAATCCTAAATAAAGGTGTGGTTATCTGGTTTTCCTAAATGAATTTTTGGATACAATCTTGAAAACAACACAGTACCTGAAAATAATAATGTCAATTTTGCCATTTTCAACGACCTTCTATCCAAAAACTCTGAAAATATGCAATCCTTGACTAAAACCCCAGCTCACTGCCATGCTTAAGTATTTGGGCAAAATACCCCTGAATTTCAACTGAACCAGTTTGACCAGGTCAAAGGCAGTCGGCCAAGCACTAATGGCAGTTGACTGTCATCCTCTATACATGTCAAGAATTTTAATATTAAGCAGATGACAGGAAATTGTTCCGAAACAATGTGAACTAAATGCATATCCTATTTTCACTCTTCTCAGAAACTCATCTCGAACATGTTTTAAAGTTCTCGAATTCAATATGACACATGTCTGGAAATATTAAAAATATTAAAACACAACTTCAATTTTGGATTGAATCCTAATTTTTCAAAAAGTTTGGGAAACTAAAGAAGCCTTAGATTTTGTTCTTTCTCTTCCCCTCTCTTTTTCAGGTCAGGTTACTCGGATATCATTTTTACGCAAAGCTAACCTGATAGTTAGCATTTCATGCCAAAGAAATGTAGAAAAATATCAAGTCATTCCCAGAGCCAAGTAACTGCATTCGTTAAAAAAAGTTCCAAGTCATACTTACCTCAAGAGCAGGTGCATCATCTGCCACCTTGATATTTGAAGGTGCTGCCCGGAGAGCCTTCGTCTTTTCCTCGATTTCATCCACAGAGTACGCTGCAAAACAAATGCGAATCCAAAATTCACTCTCCCTCTTTCACCAACAAACATAAAGACCCACAAGAATACCAATTAAGCCAATATTACCAACACAAAGCTTTTCTGTTTAGCCAAAACCCACATCAAATTTCGCTTCTACAAGCCAAGAAAAAAGAAGAAACCCAAATTTCACAGTCAAAATCAAACCCCAAATCTTACAATTCTGCATTGGTTTATAAAATCGGCTATAAATGGAAATTCCTCATCATGAATTAATCTAAAACACCCAACATCAAACTTTTCTTGTTCTTTTCACCCAAAGCCCACATCAAAGTTCTCTTCCGAATCCCAAAAAAGAACCACACCAAAAATGAACCATCATTTCCAAATCAGCGCAGCTCATACCATAGGAGGCATAACCAACAGTGGCAGTGGCTCCAGTGATCGCGCCAATGAGCGAGTACTTGAGGAAGTTCCAAGCTTTTCCACTTGACGCGTTCGAAGCCTCAGTACTAGGTGGTGGTGGCGGTGGTGGAGGTGGAGGCGTGAGATCGGAGACTAGGGCTTGAGCCCCGATGAGCGGCTCTTTGGGAGGGGTTGAAGCCACATCGGAGCTGAATAGGCGTCGATTACGCTTTAATACCCGGGAGACTAAACGGGATCGAAGAAGTATCGAAGACATTTTTAGGGTTTTAGAGAGGTTTTGCTTGTGATCGCCTGTTTGGGGTTAATAGGGTTTTGCGAGAGAGAGAGACTGAAAGAGAGAGAGAGAGAGACAGAGACAGAAGGGGTGTTTGGGTATTGGAATTGTATTGAACTTCTTAATACGGAGGGGTGTTTGGATGTCGGTTGTTTGTAGTGGTTGGTTCCTAGTTTAGTCAAGAAACTCTCTGTTTGGTAGCCGACTTCTTTCTTTTATACCAGCGAATTAGCGATTTAGAGGATATTGAAATTTGGACCTAGGATGCAGAGTAATAAATCATCTTCCAAATTTATTTTTATTATTATTTTCTTTTTTCCAAATTTATTTTTATTATTATTTTCTTTTTTCCAAATTTTTTTTCTTTCCATTTTTTCTTAAAAAATGATAACCGGACTTCCATTTTTTTCCATTTAACTTTTGAACTATTCTTCCTCTTCCGACTAAAAAGATGGAACTATTGTTCTAAAGTCTTTTTTACCATCCGTCCAAAACCCCTCAATCCGTCACTGCAATACTAGTCCCGGAATTATGTTAAACTTAAACGCATCATTTTAGTTCTTAACCTTCAAATTGTTCTCGCCATCCTCTTGTTCTCCACATCAATGTTATCCTAAACGTTGATTTTGTTCAAATTTTGTTTGGACCATACATCAATTTGGTCCCTCCCGTCACATTCAATCAAAATATTCTTTTAATTCGATCACGTGACGGAACATGACCAACTTTATAGTGTTATTTTCATTAAAATACAACCTATTCAATCATGAAAAAACTAAATCTCACATATTTTACTCGGTAAGGCTATATGCTCTCTTTAATGGAATCCAAATGTAAAACCCTAAACGGAAATAATTTGACCATTTTGAACAAATACATGAGTTGAAGGGCTAAAATAAGCCATATTTTGATGAAAGCTCCCACTTAAAGTTGGTAACATAACCAAATGTAACGAAAATTATACGACAATATTGACCAAATTAAGGGTAAATGGTCTAATACCCCCTGGACTATCACGCTAATTGAAATGTCCACCCTGAAAAAAAAATTCAGCCAATTTAGCCTTCGTATTATATTTAATCGCCAATTTCACCCCTGCCGTTAGGTTTACCTCAATTCCATCCAAATGCCTGTCAAATATAAGGGTAAATTTGACATTTTACAAGGTAATGCATTAAGAAAATAAGGAAAATGTAATATAATATATTTAAAAGGTATAGCCGCCCGGCTATACTGGCAACCCCTAAAATTTAATCTCCACCCTCCCTGCCACCTCCTCTAACCCTAACCCTAACCCTAACCCTTCTTTTGTTCCAGAACAGCTCAAGGTGAACACTTTGACACACCCCAAGATTAAATTCGAAGTGAGAAGCTTTTGGAAGGCGGAAATTTGTAGGGCCCTGCACGAAAGGGTTTCTGAAATTGATCCGCAGGGCAATATAGGGAAGATTCGCAAAGGCGAAATCGTGGAGACTTTGAAGCTCGTCGGGAAGGGAAACTAGTTCTGCTGGTGAAATGGTTGCTGCACACTGGACTAGCTAATCAAAGAATGCGCTGCTGGAAGGAGGCTGGGATGCTACCCTTGCTTCTGAAACCAACTGGATCGACGGGTTTCACAACTGGCTATGGCTCTCAAATCGGAAGGTATGCTGCGGGCCTAGGAACTGGATATGCATCTATAACTGGCTATAGATCTCGAACTGAAGCAAACATTCCGCCTTGTTTTATCCATCTCCGTCCGAGCTGGCTACCCCTGCTCTTGAGCTGCATGTGAGGAGGAAGGGGCTGGGGAAGACGATGATTGCCTTCCCTTTTTCTTTTCTTTTTTTTTTCTTTTTTTTTTTGCAGTTTTGTAGTTTTAACAATTTAATTATTTTAAACTTTAAAAAATTAAATTTAATTCAACAGTGAATCACGTGCTCATGTGCCTCTCACGTGGTTTTTTTGACGGTCATTTGGATGGAATTGGGGTAAACCTAACGGCAGGGGTAAAATTGGCGATTAAATATAATACGAAGGCTAAATTGGCTGAATTTTTTTTTCAGGGTGGACATTTCAATTAGCGTGATAGTCCAGGGGGTATTAGACCATTTACCCCCAAATTAATGTGTAAACCAAAAAAAAATTAAGGATGAATTGGGCTTAGGCTCAAACCGGCCGAACCGAATCATTTTAAATTGGTTCGGTTTTTTTTATAACTTTTATTCAAATTGAACCAAATCAAACCGTCATATTGTAATTAGTTCGACCATGATTTTGAAGTGACACCGATCCAATCCGGACCGTGCCCACCCCTAAATAAAACCCTAAATAAAAAGTTGTGATGGCTTTATTAACCAGCAACATCATGGTCTTGTCTTCCTGCCTAGACCAACAACAACCTGACATGAAATACCATTTTGATTTTTCTAATCTAGCTGAAATGTGAGAAAGAATCTTCTCTTTTTTCTCTTTTTCTCTTTTTGGGAAAGCATAAAACTATATAGAAGGTGGTTGTTAGGAAGAGAAACAAGTTTGGGGTTGTGCCCATTAAAAGTTAAAGGCTTAGAAAAGTAAAGAAGATAATGAAGATAGTCAAAATCACTTGGAGACGTGTGCTGCATTTGCAGATCTTCTTTTGCCTAACTAATCAAAGGTTAATATATTATTAGAGTTTTATGAATATATATATCTTTGACATGTCATGTCATAAAGTAATATAATTATGTAAAAATAATAAAAAAGTTTACGTGTAAATTAATTATTTATGAGAGAAAACTGCTTAAACTTTTCTTAAGTTACAACTTACATTAAAATCAAAGCTTCCATTATTATGAGAAGTAAGAGCATGATATTTGCTTAGAGATGAAGGGATTGAACACCATCCCAAATCAAAACCAACCACAAGTGTGTGTGTGTATGTAGCATTATTATTCTTCTTATGATTTTCCAAGCAACAACCACACAGGCAGAATTTTCACCTGCTATACGTCACAACCTTTTGGTTTTGGTTTCCCTGGTGTTAGCAAAGAAAATGTAGATTAGCCTGCAGTTGTACACGTTTGTCTGTTGCCAACTATATTTCTAAGAATTAATTGCTTGCTTATTAGCAAGGACGGACTTAGGATTTCAAATGAGATGGGCTAAATTTACCTTACGTGCAGGGTGCGTGAAGTGCTGGGATTTATGCTTGCCGACATGCAGTGCGTGGTTATGCATGAAAGAGGGGTTGATTTGGGTGGATTGGGAATGTCAATATAAGGGTCTGTCCCTGCTTCTTAATTCAATGGTATTTTTCTTGCCAATGATGAAAGAGATTTTATGTTCGAATCTTCTTTGATTTGTTGATTAGAAAAGAGAAAAACTAGTTCTAAACTATTTGTATAAGTTAAGTCTCATGCTCTAGCATTACTTGTGCCAATGACATTATGCTATATTTCAAAAGGGTTTGTTATAGAACAGAGACAGAGTCTTGAATATCAATTATCAGATCTCTTTCTTGGTCCCAGCTCTCCCAAGTGATTGCCTCCATCATAAAGAAGTCAAATCTGAAATTGGTGAACATCAAGATTACTCTTACCTGATGCCTGAATGGGGTGACAGCTAGAAAGTTCTAAATAGTCTGGAAAATAACATGTCAACATCCTCTCCATCTCAAGTCTCCAAATGGCAATTTTCTACTGATCTGATAGGAACACCATTTAAGGATCCTCAATCCAAGGGTATTTTTGGAAAACCACCCACACAACCAAAAAATTACTTTGAAGCCTGACCTATATATAACCCTCCAATCCAATCCATGACTTTGATATGTAGATACAAGCTTGCCAAAGACTCCTTCAAACTCCTCTCCATTCCATATCCTCCTCAATTTGCCAGAGCTGCCTCTTTAGCAATTAAAAACTAGCTAGATAGAGAGAGAAAATGGATCAAACTGAGTACCATGGCCAAAACCAACAAACCTTGACTCATAGTTACTACATGTACAACTCCATAGACAATCAGCTTCTGAAAAAAGCTACCAAGTTTTTGCTTTCAGTTTCTGTGGTCACTTTCTGCATTCCCAACTCATCTTTGCTTTCATGCCTCCATTCCCTCAACTTCTACTTCTCCACATTCCCTTACCAGCTTTTCACCCACACCATTGACAAGAACTGCATGTTCCTCATCTGCAATTTGCTCTTGGTTGTCCTTGCAAAATGCTCTGGCTTAATCCGGTCCCCGTCCCCGCCTCATCGTTCTAATGATGAAACCACCTTCAAGAACAGAGAAGGTGGTTCCGGGTTCGAATCGCCAATGTTAGAGACTGAAGAACCAGCTATGCAGAAGGAAGATGTTAAAGTGGAGAGTATGGAGTCAGCAGAACATGTTGCTGCAGAAGAAGGACAACAAAGTGAGCCTTTGATCAACCAAGTAGAAACAGATGCAGAGAAAGCAGCTGAAGAATATAAAGATCAAAAGGAGCAAAAACCAGAAAGTGAGTTTATTGTCCCAGAAGAAGAAGAAGAAGAAAATGGAACACTTGCTGAAGAAGATGAAGATGGAAATGGAATGTTAAGTAGTAGCACTGAAGAACTAAACAAGAAATTTGAAGATTTCATTAGAAGAATGAAGGAAGAATTAAGGATTGAAGCACAAAGACAACTAATCATGGTTTAATTAGTGTTCTAATTAGTATGTTTGTGAGAAATACTTCCTTTTTTACTCATTCATAATTAATTTTCATTATGTTAATTAGTTGTGTATTATGTATTTATAGATGTTAATTAGTAAAAGATTTTATTTTCTATATTCTTTTGAGTGCATAATAACAATATGAAAACGGTGCTTTGAAGCAGAGATTCATATATAAGCGACTGCTGCAAGCTTTCATAATGACAATTAGATATATACACTTGTCCTGCTGCATTCGAGTTTACTGTTGGCTGGGCCCCATTGACTTACAATCTTTTTGTTTGGTGGGAATTTGACAAAACTTAATTTGTTATGTTCTTGGAGAATTGACAGAGTTGATGAAACACTGAAACCCGAGCTCTGTCATGTGAATCCAAATAATTTAGTTCATTTTTGCTATCAGTATAAAATGTAACAATCCCTAAACACAAAGCAATCTGTATAATTTTCTCACTACATTATAAGGTGCCGTTTGGTTCATGGGAAAGGAGGTT